GGCCTTCTGGGAACCCGATTCATACGGCCTCCGCCCCCTTACACAACCATTTTCCTCGAAGGCCTTTCGGAATGCAGATTGGCCTGCGTGGATTGTGGTCCACTACTACTTCAGTGGAGCAGTGAATTCGTCAAGGCCTGGGGCCTGCGTTCTTATATATATATATATATTACATTTACATATGTGTGTGGTGCATATCTATGCGGTGCAATCGATGTGGTGCAATCTACGTTGTGTGATACATCATGGAATGCACTCTAGTTATGTGGTGCAATCTATGCGGTGCAATCCACTTCGACTGTCTTGAAGCTGTCCTCTCCACTGCTCGTGTAAACCTTTCACCCTCCCACCCGCAACTTGGTCGCAGGACATCTTCAGACCACGACGGTGGATACCAAATGGCTCTTGGCGACGACAGCGACGCCGACGACGACAGCGACAACAACGACGACGAAAACGTCGCCGACGACGACTACGACGACACCGACGACGGCTCCGACGATTTCGACGACGACGACGATGACGACGACGACGACGACGACGGCGGCGACACCGACGACGACAATGACGACGCCGACGACGACGACGACGCCGACGCCGACGACGACGACGACGATGACGACGCCGACGACGACGACGGCGACGACGACGCCGACGACGAGGGCGACGACGACGACGACGACGCGGACGACGACGACGCCGACGGCGACGACGACGACGCCGACGACGACGACGAAGACGACGACGACGTCACTAACGAAGACGACGACGACGACGAGTGAGGAGGGAGGACGACGACGGCGACAACGACAACAACGACGAGGGAGGAGGGAGGATGGCGACGACGCGAACGACGAAGAAGGAGGGAGGACGGCGACGCCGACGACGACAACGACGAGAGAGGAGGGAAGACGACGACGACGACGACGACGACGACGACGGCGACGAAATAGGAGGGACGACGACGAGACGCCGACGACGGACGACGACGACGACGAGGGAGGAGGAGGGACGATCACGGCGACAACGACGACGGAAACGACCACGACGCCAACGAGGACGACGACGACGACGACGACGACGAGGAAAGACAGAGGACGACGACATCGACGACGACGAGGGAGGAGGGAGGAGGGAGGAGGAGGACGACGACGACGACGCAAGAGCGCGCGCGCACTCTTTTGTTGAAAATCCGTGTTGCGAAACCTTGTGTTTTTTTGTAGGTTTTTTGGACACACGATTTTGAAGTCGTTCCGAAACCGATGGGTTTTGAAGGATTTCGGCGTACGCGCGCGACGACGCGCGCGTATGCACTTCGTCCCGTTTTTTGCAGAGGATTCCCGCGACGGCACACGCGCAAGGGCGTTCGACAGACTTCGACATGCGCACACGCGCGAAGCCCGTTTGGTAGCATTTTGCGAAAAAGATTGAAAACCCATGGTTTTCTTAAGATTTCGCAAGAGGTCGCGCGTAAGCTTTTTCAGCAATTCAGAGTTGCGAAATCTTATGTTTTTGTATGTTTTTTTGAAACTCGATTGCGAAATCCTTCCGGCACCGAAGGTTTTCGAAGGATTTCGGCATGCGCGCGCGACGACGAGCGCTTGTGCACTTCGTCCCGTTTTTTGCAAGGGATTCGTGAACAAGTCTTACGTTAGAACCAAATCTGTTCCCGCGCATCGTTTTTTACAAGGGAACCTCACGGGTGGATGCCGGTTGGCCTGGGACATTGTGATTTCATATTTAGGATGGACATGTGGTCAGAATCGTATGTGATTTACATACCCGAAAGGGGTAGCGATAATTCCGGGGGGGGTAGAGTTTATTCCCTTGAGAAAGGAGAATTCATTTGCCGAACTTGAAGTTGTCAACTCCACTGCTCGCGCAATCATCCCACCCACCCACCCGCAACTTGGTTTGCAAAACCCATGCGGGACCGAGCACATATATCGTTCCGGGGTCGTCTTGGAGCCCGCGGGGGCGTCTTAAGAGCGCCCCAAGAAGGCCGGAAAAGCAAGACGGCCGACGACGACGACGACGACGACGACGACGGCGGCGACGACGACGACGCCAACGTCGACGACGAAGACGACGACGCCGACGCCGACGACAACGAAGACGGCGACGTCGCCAACGAAGACGACGACGAGAGAAGAGGGAGGACGACGACGGCGACAACGACGACGACAACGATGACGACGACAACGACGACAACGACGACGACGCCGACGCCGACGACGACGACGAAGACGGCGACGTCGCCAACGAAGACGACGACGAGGGAGGAGGGAGGACGACGACGGCGACAACGACAACGACAACGACGACAACGACGAGGGAGGAGGGAGGACGGCGACGACGCGAATGACGAAGAAGGAGGAAGGACGGCGACGCCGACGACGACAACGACGAGGGAGGAGGGAAGACGACGACGAGACGACGACGACGACGACAACGACGACGACGACGGCGACGAAATAGGAGGGACGACGACAAGACGCCGACGACGGACGACGACGACGACGACGACGACGACGACGGAGGAGGAGGAAGGACGACCACGGCGACAACGACGACGGAAACGACCGCGACGCCGAAGAGGACGACGACGACAAACACGAGGAAAGACACAGGACGACGTAGGCGACGACGACGACGACGCGGGAGGAGGGAGGACGGCGACGACGACGACGCCGCAAGAGCGCGCGCGCACGTTTTTGTTGAAAATCCGTGTTGCGAAACCTTTTGTTTTTGTAGGTTTTTTGGACACACGATTTTGAAATCCTTCCGAAACCGATGGGTTTTGAATGATTTCGGCGTACGCGCGCGACGACGCGCGCGTCTGCACTTCGACCCGTTTTTTGCAGAGGATTCTCGCGACGGCACACGCGCAAGGGCGTTCGACAGACTTCGACATGCGCACACGCGCGAAGCCCGTTTGGTAGCATTTTGCGAAAAAGATTGAAAAACCCATGGTTTTCTTAAGATTTCGCAAGAGCTCGCGCGTAAGCTTTTTCAGCAATTCAGAGTTGCGAAACCTAGTGTTTTTGTATGTTTTTTGGAAACTCGATTGCGAAATCCTTCTGGCACCGAAGGTTTTTGAAGGATTTCGGCACGCGCGCGCGACAACGCGCGCGTGTGCACTTGAACTTCGTGTCATGTTTTGTAAGGGGTTCGTGAAAAAGTGTTTTGTTCAAGCACACAATGTCACCGCATAGTATTTTTTTCAAGGGAACCTCAGGGGGGAATACCGGCTGGCCTGGGACATTGTGATTTCATATTTAGGATGGACATGTGGTCAGAATCATATGTGATTTACATACCCGAAGGGGGTAGCGATAACGCCGGGGGGGGGGTAGAGTCTGTTCTCTTTTTAGAAAGGAGAATTCACTTGCCGAACTTCAAGTTGTCAGCTCCACTGCTCGCGCAATCATCCCACCCACCCACCCGCAACTTGGTTTGCAAAACCCATGCGGGACCGAGCACAGATATCGCTCCGGGGTCGTCTTGGAGCCCTCGGGGCGTCTCAAGAGCGCCCCAAGAAGGCCGGAGAAGCAAGACGGCTGGGGGGGGAGGGGGTAGAGTCTGTTCTCTTTTTAGACCGGCGAAGCTATGCGGCGCAATCTATGTCTTGCAATCTTTGCGGCGACGAGGCGGCCATTGGGCGGCGACGGCGGCCACATACCGCCAGACTGCCAGCCAGGCCCAGCTCATCAGAAGAGAGGTGCGAGCCCCTACGTAAGTGCAAGCAGCGTTTATTTGTTTAGAGGAGAAACCTGCCGCCTCCTTTTGCGCTGCCCAATGCGCAATCGTTGGCACGTTCGTAAGCTCAGCTGAGTGACGCGCGCTAGCGATATCCAAACTATATTCGCATTCCTCGGCGTTGCCCATTGCGCAACTGCAGGCACACTTTCGTTGGCTACCTGGGGGGCCATGGGGGCCCAGTGGAGTGACGCGCTACGCAGATCCAAACTACTAGATCTTGCATTCCGGGGCGATGCCCACTGCACGATTGCCGCTGTCGTCAGAGGGTCAGCGGACTGCGGTGCTACACGGGTCCAAACTGAATTTCTCCCTTGGGCGCTGGCCAATGTGCAGTTGCCAGCCTTCTCGTGCGCTCCTGGGAGGTCCAGCGGAGTGACGCGTTCGCGCTTGACCTCGCCTTCCTTTGCGCTGCCCACTGCGCAATTGTCGCCACTGTCGTGGGTTCCTGAGAGGTCCAGCGGACTGACGCCTTACGTCTGCAATTCAGTTTCCTTTTTGGCGTCGCAGGATATTTTTTTTGTAAGGGTGCGCAAATTGTAGGTCTCCATATGGCTTGCTGAAGAGTCAACGCGCCCTTGCACGTCCTCATTAGTATTGGATGCGCTCGTCGATCTTGTCCCATGTAAACTATGGGTTGGTTACGCTCATGTTTGCTTTTTGGGGGGATGTGTGGTCTGGAACGTGGTGGGCTGGTTGTGCCCACCAATTTGGCTTACATGGTCACAAAAGCTGTCTGCCAGTGGAGTCTCCGAAAGAAAGACTCAAACGAGAAATGTATGTATACAAATGATAGACAGTTCGGATGGGCATGTGACCAGAGGGGGAGGAGTATGAGGAGGAGAGGGAGGAGGAGGAGGAGGAGGAGGAGGAGGAGGAGGAGGAGGAGGAAGTGGAGGAGGAGGAGGAGGAGGAAGATGAGTAGAGGGAGGAAGCAGGCAGAGTAACAGTACAAAGGAAGACCAGGTCAAAGGCTAGAGGAAGGCCGCGGGGATTGGGATGAACACGTTTGCTTTGAGGAGGCATAAGACATTGTCACCTTCGCACAGTTCTGCGACAGGAGAATGCCAGAGGATATCAGAGGGTCCTACAGGTAGGATGCGTTGACCAAGAGCCTTCGGTTGTTGAGAATCCGTGTCAAACCTCGTTGAGGCTGGTGCCCACACGTCCGCGGGAAGACCACGTTGCGGGTACCATGCCTCTCGCGCATGATAAACCAAGCCGTTACGTGTCCACTCGAGCGGACGTGCGGGCTTTTGTGCAGAAGTGGTTCGCTGGAATCTGCATCCACCACCTGCCGTACCGGCTGCTCTTCCCATTTTTGGATCGTTTCTTCGCCCAGGGCAACTGCTATTTATTCCAGTTCTTCCTCTCGTTCTTCGCTGAATTTGAGGACCGAGCCCTCCACATGTTCACGATGACTTTGCGGGGCGCCAGGACTCGGCGGCGCGCCTGGGGGGAAGTGAGAAGCAGAGGGCCTTCTCAAAAGGATCGGAAGTCACCCAGTTTTTGAGAGGTTTTCTGACCCTTCCCCGACGATGCAGGACACACTTCTGATAAAGCCCGACGGCTTCTGAGAAGGCCTGCTCCTCCTCACTTCCCCCCTGGGCGCGCCGCCGAATTTGGTTTTTGGGTCAGAACTCGCTCGGGTCTCCAGCGGCCGTTCGGGACGATCCGGGCACCCCCAGAACGGCCTCGGCGAGGCGCAGCCGCTGGCAAGCATCTCGAGGGTGGAAAACCGCCAAGGAACTACGAAATCGCCCGAAAACCTCGAGGAGAAGGGGAGAGGAGGGGGAGGAGGCAGAGGCGAAGGAGAAGGGGCAACATTCGCGGAACTTCCACCCCCTTCGCTCGCCGCCGATTTCGGGGATGCTTGACACTCGGAGCAGGCGTGCGTGGTAGCCTGTCGCTCGGGTGCCGAGGCGGGCGTGCCGGCACGGCAGGAGCCAGCGCCCGCAAGACGAAAATCCATCGTTCGATGATGTTCGGGTGCAACTCTTCGGGTTCGATTTTTTGAGGTTTTCGGGCGTTTTCGTCGGTCTCGGGCGACTTCCCAGTCTCGGGATGCCTTCAGCAGCTGCGACTCGCCGAGAGCGTTCTGGGGGTACCAGGATCGTCCCGCACGGCCGCCAGAGAGCTGAGGTATGACCCGAAAACCAGTGTGGGGACTCCGTCTCCGAATCGGGTGTCGCTAAGTGTGCCCCTGGCCCAAGGTGCTCTCAGCGTTGCGCGCCGTTTTGGAGCCCCTGGGGCCCCCCTGGCCTCGTGGGGGGTGCGCTGGAGGCTTTGGGGAGGCCTCCTTGGAAATCCTGGGGGCACCTTGGGCCAGGGGCACTTCTAGCAACATCGGATGATGCTCTGACGTGGACAGTCGGCGCTAGAGAAGGCAGGGGATGGGGAGGAGGAGGAGGAGGAAGAGGAGGAGGAGGACCGAGCCATTTTGGCTCAAGTCCGTAGTGTTTTGGCACAGGACTTGGCGCTTTGGCGTGGGAGAGGTGCGCCCCCGCCTACGAACCCACGGCTATCAGGGCCGAAAGGTTTCTTTCAGTGAGCTCCTGGAGTAGCACTTTCGTTTCGACGGCGGCCCAGGCCGCGGACATCGCTTACATCACGCTCAGATGGTCAAGCCAACGGGCTATGTTGCGTGCCCTCATTCTTCTTGCCGCTGTCAGTGGAACGTGAGGTCCCACACGAGGTGCTGGAAGTGCAGCGGACTTCTCCAACCAGCACCGTGGCAGGGAACTTTGGCTCGAGGGGAATGGCACCGTGGCCCACCGCACTCCTTGTGGCAGCAACATGACCACGGAGGGGAAGGAGGTTCACTTTTTGCAGGAGTCGGAGGACGGGAGCATCCATCAGTGCTGGATGCCAACTCGCCTTTTGCCACATCAACGGATGACCTCAAGCGCTGGCACAACGACTTCCGACAAGTGGCTCTGAGACAGACAATGAAGGCCAACAACACCTCAAGGCGCTCACCCAGATTTTCAATCAGGCGAGCAACACCAAGCAGGACAAGAAAGGTAAGCTCCGCCCTGATATCGAGAAAGAGCAACATCTCCACCATGCGGGCATCCAGGCTCGCAAGGCACGTGAAGCTCTGGACGCGGCGGTCAAGCACCAGGCCAGCTGTCAGGAGTGGCTCGACAAGGCGACAGCTGAACAGCGACACCAGCAACTACTCGAACAGGCACTGGTGGCCAAACAGGAGGAGGAGGAGGCTACCCAACCCACCAAAGCGAAGATCAATATGTCCAGCCTCCTGGCGACCCAGCAGGACGAGGACATCGAGAACATCACCGCCTTGGGCGATGGCGACGTCTTCAAGCAGGATGAGTACGACCTCGGCTCAGAGGAGATCGCCCAATGGGAACAGCACGAGCGAAAGCTCCTCAAGGAAGTATGTTCGCTTATCGGCAAG